AAGGAAACGTGGCAAGGAAGGAAGGAAGGAAGGAAAGAAAGAAAGAAAGAAAGAAAGAAAGAAAGAAAGAAAGAAAGAAAGAAAGAAAGAAAGAAAGAAAGAAAGAAAGAAATGTGGCAGAGAAGGTCCTGAGAGATGGCACTGTTTAATTGAGGGAATCACACCTACCCTGCCCAACCTTACTGGATGGGCAGAACCTATCAGAGTTAGGTGGTCTCTTGGATAACCAGGCCCTTGTAAGTTCAGTTTGATCTGCAAATTCTTAAATTTGCCGTGCTATTTCAGAAGCTGACCATTCTGAAGTCAGTTGAGCTGAATCATCTTACATTCATACTTCTTGATGCCAGGGTTTGGATTTGAATGATATAGTGGTCTATGTTGGCTAAAGAAGACTTGCATGAATAGCCCAGTCTATATTAATGAGAACTGTGGGTTCCAGTCCACCAAAGTTCCTGCAGGGTGATTTGCTTAGGCTCCCATCATTGGCATGAATTATTTCCACTCTTGTTTCAGTAGGTCAAACTGTTTTCGGTTGCTTTTTTTTACCAGTCTCCCTTTCTATTTTTACACCCAGGGTAGAAACTAGCTCTCCTGTCCACAAGAATGCTTTAAATGAACTCCTGCCTTCAGACAGCGTGCCAGAATCGATGACCGTTGGTAGGTAACTATTAGGCTGTATTTGGATTTTTTTTTTTTAAGCCTTGATCCATGGAAAAGCTGTTCTTAGAACATGTTTTCATTGGGGGGTGGGGGCTCCAAGCTAGGTTTGTTGGTGCTTGTAACATTAATGGACTGCTAAATATTTTTAGGAATTCTGCCTAAACCAGGAACATTTGAAGTGGAAATTCAGAGCTGAAGGAGGGACCAAATTTCTTGATCTAAGCTATTCTGGCCATAGTTGCTCTGTAAGGAGGCAGGAAGAGATCTTCCCCATATACACCTCCCTTTCTAAAGTGATGCCTGAATTAAGTCAAAGATATTTTGCACCTAGGGCTTCTTAAAATGCAGAGATTCAATGACTGGGATGTTCATTTGGGAGTTCCTTCTTCCTCCCCCCCCCCTCCCCCCGGTTTCACTGGGAAACAAAATATGGAATTACCCAAAGTCCCACAGTTATCCCTCAGGAGCATGTTTTAATCAATGAGCTTTACTTTATAAATATTATTCATGAAATGGAACAAACAAAAATAATCCTTTAGTGATGGTGTGGGATCAAAACGCAGGACACAAATGCAGAATAATCAAGGCTTCACTGCAGTGTTTATTGAGCAGTACGTACTGGAGGGGGACCCCACCAGAAGTTAGCGGGAGGCACTCCCCTACAGGCAAAATGGATGCTCTGATATTTATACAGTTCGACAAGAAGGGGAAGGGAAAAAGAACGTATACGCATATCCGCATACGTATTCATATGATGATGCAGGCATACCTAAATAAGCAATAGTTCTCAAGTTACTCTCTGCCCCTCTGTTATCTGCTAGTAAAACAATAGTGTCACAGAGAAGAAGACACAAATTAGTTTAAGGTGCCAAATGCCAGGAAGAAGGCATCCTCCCTCAGGGCAGATGCCCAGGTTGCTACGGGAAGGTTTGTGATCAGGGGTTTACAACCGGCCTGGTTCACATCAGCTTCAAGGATGCTTCCACATGCCTTTATGTTTCAAGCTTATTAAGGCGATCCCATTGAAATGAGCCCTCTAAGAACTTGTCTTTTCACCCCAAGATTAAACCAAAGATATATTTTTCTTACAGAACGATAATTTTATTAGGCGGCTCCAATCTTTATAATCTGAAGCTGTCTCAGCCTTTTACAATAATATTTATTTTTTGTACTTACTGTACGTTTCTAAAATTGTTTTTATTGTTGTTTTGTGTGCTGCCCGGA